ATTTCCTCAGTTAAACTTAAACGGTTCCTCATTGATGCCTTTGGTGCGTGTTACACGGGAGTAAAGTTAATGCATGTCGCTGCTATGGTTGAGGCGGGAGTTATGAAACCGATGCAGGCAAGAGAACATTGTCCCACACCGACTTCCTCTTAAACAAACAAAAGCCTTTACAGACAGAAAGAACAGAAACAAAGACAGAAACGACAAATTTACCACATATTATGCTATCTGAGCATAGATACGTTAGAGCGCAGCAACCGCAGTGCCATCGCCCTCTTCACTTTAGACACACTGTCGGAAACCAACAGACATGGCAGTGCCTGAAGATAATTGCACGTGTTAAGGAATACAAAACAGAGGCTTTTGGTCAGCATTTGTCAGGGTTTATACTGGAGCTCAGAAGGGCTGCATTCTATTTCACAATCAACACCAGATTTAGGCCAAATAAACAAATGAAGGGCACATTTATGGCATTTATTATGCTAAACTGCCAGATATTAGACAGACCCAGCCTTTCAAAAGCAGCAATTTTCTTAGAACTTGTGTTTAGTTATGATGTTATATTTTCTAATACGCCACTTATTAAAACCTGATCACCTGATTACCCCATAACATATATTTTTATTTCAGATTTTGGATTCTGTGTGACAATCCTGGATGCACGAGAGTTTATGTGACTTTTGGGATGAAGCACAGACCTTCTGACTGAGAAGTGGTCATGCTGCATAATGCATTACAAAAGCCTTCACCGCTTCTAGTTTGTCTACATCCTGTTAGCATGAAAGTAAAAGTGAGCAAAAGGGTGTCTAAATATTTTATTTACTCTTTTAATTCCCCGCTTTGCTCTTTGTTCCTGCGGTTCTTGTTCTGGTGCATTGTGGTCATCAGCTTCACGCTTCAGTTGCTCCAAACTGCCACAATAAACACTGAGGTAAGGCATTTTAACGAATTAGTATGCTGGCTCATATCCTAATTTGTTTCTATTTTAGTCACATTTTTTTTCTTACAGCTGCTTCAAGGCAGGTCTGTGCTTCATGCATGGCTGACATGAAGAAGCCGCAGACACGCTGTCTGTTTCTCGTAGTTTCTCTTAACATAGTTCATCATTTGTTTAAATCAAGAGCTTAATTCCTCTCTTGACTTTCTCACGAGCTGTAAAACTGCGCCTAAATCTGCCATCGGCACAGGTACCTACAGTCAGCCGATACCATAGTTATGTCAAATTTAGCCTCAGGTAATACACTGCTCTGACGTTACACACTTATTGATAATTGGAGGTCAGAGAAAAGTCAGGATCCAAGTCAGGACAGAGGAAGGAAGACAGAGCAACTGCCTTACTGATAAAGTATAGCAGGCCGGAGAATACTGGGGATATAAACTCATGGCAAAAGTTAATATTTAACTACGGTGGCAGTAATGCAAGCAAATGTTTTATCAAGGAATTTCCCAGAACATATTGTTTACAAAATATCTGTCATTATACAGACCATATCTGGAAGTGGCCAGAAGCTTGGATATAACATCACAACAAAAGATCACCAAAAGTCCAGAAGATGGCTCGGTGTAGCTTCAAAAACAAAACGGTAGTTCTAGCCCGATACTCACAGTCGCTCCATATTTTTGGACACGAATTTCTGTTTCATGTGCAGAATTTGTTTACCCTTAAGGTGTTGACGTGGTAAACAAAGATATTGCATTTACAGCTATTTTTGCACGCACTTCCTCCCCCCACACTATAATGTAAAAAGACTCAGTTTAAGATCTTGTTGAGGATCCTTTGCACGATGTCTGGAGTCTGTGGACCTCACCAGAGATTCTTTCTTTGTCATGCTTTGCAGGCCTTTGCTGCAGCTGTGTGTAGCTGTTCTTTATTTGTACTTCTGCCTTCATTTTTGCATTCAGTATGTGGAATGCATGCTCGACTGGCCAAGTCAGTCAAGTGATCGGCTTGGCCATTTTCGGCTCTGTAATGGCCTTTCTGTTCTTGAGGCTGATGAGTGTTTTGCGCCTTGATATCTCTACGTTTTTCTCTCTTGAAGTCTTCTCTTTGCAGAGGGATTAGATAAGAATGAGCCTACATAATGGAGAGTTTCAGCACTTTTCTTTACCATAGAAAACATGCTGTGATCATACACCAGTTGTCTTCAGTAGAGGTCCAGCCCTTTACGTTGCTCACTATGGCATAGATTTTATTTAAAATAAAATTATATTTGCCATTTTTATTTTCTAGAAAAGAAAAACTACCCATAGTCATATAACTCTACTTAATTATAATCTTAATCTAAAGCTAAAATACCAAATATTTGGTCAAGTATCCAAATAAAAGGAGCTTAACTCTATCTCATGTCCTCGGTCTTTTATTATGGCAAGTCTGTGTTGTAAGGCTCAGTTTTCCAACCGTCTTCCAACCATCTGACACCATTATCGCAGAGAAAGAGAGACCACTGTCCGTCCATGTCCTATCTGATTACACAAGCCAGTTCCTGGATGACTCAGCAGACCCCTCGCTGCCCAATTAAAACAGAAAGCCCAATTCTCCGTGTTCGTGTATGCGTGTGTGTACATGATTCATGCTCCCTACTCCCTGAAAAAAAAAAAAAGAACTCTAGCACAATGAAGCTGCTGTTCGCTCGAGCCATGACTGATAACTGATTTTCCTATTAGTACCTCTCCCTCTCACAATACCAACTGGGAGAGAAGCTGACAACAAAACCTAATAAGCAGATGTTTATTTTTGATATTTTACAGCAACGTGTCTGGCGTGGTCGTCAGAGTAGATTCTGTCCGTTTGAAACACATCTGCAGAACACAGATAACTTTTAAGTGAATCGAACTACAGCCCCCAAATGTCTTAATCGTGGATTTCTCCGTTTCTGACACGAGTATTTCATTTAGAGAGGGTTACTGCAAAGCTGTCTGTGGTACAGAGACAACACTGGGACGTATTGCATTATTGCTTGATAAAGCAGACGTGACAAGCGCGTCCGAAAGCAGTTGCCTGTTTACACATCGATCAGATACAGAGCGACATTATCGCCTCATCTTTTACGTCTTTAATGTTCCACTTAGAGAAAAAAACAAATAGCTTTGTGTGCAGTTATTTCAAGACCAGAAAATGGTTAGTAAAACCTGTGCATATTTGATTCCCTAAAAATAAAATGGGATAAAGAACCGCAAGCAGTCACACATGTAATTAGGCTCCAAAAATATAAACATGTCATGTTATATTTTGGTATCACTAGTCATATAAGTAAAAAAGGAGCCTCACACTTCATGAGGCTTTCTAGGGGGAGTGTGCACAAAACACCTTTTATGTTTGTTTTCTAATATCATAAATAGGCCAGAGAGGCCAGACAGCCTTGAAGGCAGTGGCTCCTAATAATCCTGCTCCATTATGAATGTAATAGCCTCAATCAAATCAAAGTGTATCAGTCTGTCATCAATAATAGAAGCGAGCCCTGGCAAACAGGTTGCTCTGTCTGCATCGGTTCTTTGTGCAGAACGAGTGAGAGCTTCAGCCTGGAGCGATCAAAGCCGGGATGACCTCAGCCAGTTTTGCAGACGATAAAAAGGCTTAATTTTGGAGACGCTGCATCTTAAACAAAAGCGAAAGACTGTTCAACACTTTCGGCCTACTTGCAAAACTCTGCCAACTGTCACTGCTAAATTCTGACTCCTTGTTCTAAATGGTCAGACAGTTTTCTATCTGTACGATGCAGACGGCAAAACAAGCATCAGAGCTCGACGTTAATCGCGGCACTCTCAGGTAATTCACTTTTGTCTGCTGTGGCAGTAATTTCAGCTTTCTTTTGATACCTGGGGAGAGGCTGAACATACAGAAAGGCTTTTGTGTGAGAAGATGAGGCTGCTGAAATATATGTAATGTGGGAGTCAACGGCAGAGCGAGCAATGAGAGACACTATGATTGCAGATTATGTGATTATGTGGAGTTTGCGCAGCGAGAGGAGGCTGAGATGTAAAAACCGAGCTCTGTGCAGAACTTCAAATTTGACACCTCTTCAGTATGTCGGGTTACACAAACCACATCATGTTTAATAAAACGCTCCTTTGCCCACAGGCTCGAGTGAAATAAAAGGCTCAGCGACAGAAATGTTCATAACTTTACTCACTAACAAAGCTGCGCATCCAATTTTTAAACTTCTCTTCTTTCCTGGTTTCAATAAACACATCCTTCTGTTGATTAACCCTCATTTTTTTATAAGAAAATGTGTTATTTATATGATTTTTTTTTTAGGGGGGGAGGGCGGGGGTGCAATAGTAGTAAGCAGATCACACATTGTCATTTTCCAGTATAATTACATAATCCACAGACTACAATCACAAGCCAGTACTGCTTGTTTCCTGGCAACTTCTTTGCTCAGGGATGAATGAAAAGAAGTATTGAGAGGCACATCCAGGAGAGGCCCAGGGGTTCAGCTTCTCATTGAAAAAAAAAAGAAACAAAAGCAAAAAAAAAAAGACTGCCTCAGACAGCACTAAACATCTCCTGTCATTTTTTTTATTACCCTAGCAGTGGGAAGAAGACCAAACAACACACGAACAGGTGCGTGCACAGCAGCACTGAGGTACTTGGGTTTGCTGGGGAGGCAACACTTGAGCTTAAGTCATTGTTGCTGTCTTTTTTAGCTGAAATTGAGTAGCCATATTGTTGGACTAAATACTTTCTGCAGCACCGCAGAAAGAAAAGAAAAAAAGTAACGCATGGCACAATAGATAAGCCGAAATCCTACTGTGTAAAGCTGCTGTAGCATTTTTCTTTACGGGAGTCATCTGAGAAGACCCCACGGGCGATAATATGTATCAATAAACACGCACAGCTGAGCACACTCGCTGCCTCTCCTTCCAGCTGCAGAGATGCTGCTGATCAGCTGCTGATGTTGACGCCGAAAGGCAGATAAAGGAAAACTTTGACAGGCTGCTGATGGTCAGCTCTACAGTGTTTAATGGTGTGAGCAGTGTGTGAAGCTGCGTATACTCACGCCCTGGTCTTGGGGAAGCCCATGGACAGCAGTACGTCCAGAGTGGACCCATGTTTGATGGTGTTCGGCCGGTTCTGGCGCTGTCTCCGCGGGGTCACTTTGGCATACAGTTCCTCTTTAGCTGCCATAACTCACTGCTCCATCGGTACGTCAGGTCCACCCCTCCTCCGATGTACTGTCATTTGTTGGAAGTAATAGATGTGTATAGATATAGATAGACCGATGGGTGTAGAGAGTAAACCAGAAGAAGAAAGGAAGAGGCGAGCTATTTAAAGCAGGCTGCCCCGGCTGAAGAGGAAGCGCGTAGAAATCACGAAACAGTGCGGGGAAGCGAGCATGGTGAGACTTGGTCTAAACGCACTTAGCTTGTCAAGCTGCCTCCTGACGGACTCGCACATGAACTCAACAGCAGGGGGCTCAGCCATGGAAAGTCACTTCTGCGCTGTCAGCCGTGCCCCCGATCCACATTCGCCGAGCGCGGAGGCGAAAGTGTCTGACTCCCGCTCGCTGTTCGCATCCGGTGCGCTCGAGTGAGAAAGTCAGCCTTTCCACGCCGAAACGATGTCTTATTTATGAATGAATCCCGGAGCGAGGGGAAGGCTCAGCCTGTAAACGGTCGCAGGTCTGACTGCGCGGCCCCTCTCTCTCAGTTAAAGGGGCATACGCTTGTTTGTGAGAGGACAGGAAAGCTGTTATAAACGGAACCAGGGTGAAACTAAAAGTAAAGCCCACTCCTCTGCTTACATACGTGTGCGATGAAAGTAATGAGATTACTTGAGAAAGGGTGATGTAAAGAGCCGAGGTACGGCTGGATGGTGGAAAAAGTTGGTCACACTTCCTGTCTGCGAAAGTCGGTGTCGACACTACTCCGCATGCGCAGTGCACGGCAAAGGGGATCCGAGCACCATCAGTTGCCACAGTAACCCGCTCAATTTGCCCTACATTACTACGTGAAATATAGGTACTTCTAACTCTTACGGATCGCGGTGATGTGTGAATTCCTCCTGCAGTTAAGTGAATGATTTTTGTCATTTTAAAATGTATCTGTGTAGACAATAGTACATCTTTTTTTAATGGTAGCTTTATTTTCTTTCATATTGACAGCTATTGACAGGAGAAAATAGAGCAAAGAACTGCAATAAAAATAGATAATCATGATAATAAGTAGTACCCCATCGTGTTTGAAACGAAGCATTAATTTTTAAACTCATCTGCATGACTATGACTATATATTTGTGCACGTGTGGCCATGTATTGAAAATGAAGGGCGACATGTCTCATACAGCTCAATGGACAAAAATGTTTACTTCTTATTCAGTCCACTGTCCATCGTGTCCATCACACATACTTAGCATTAGGTATATTTTTCCATACATCCCAATAGTTCTAAATTGAAACAACAGTTAAAACTTCAGAATTATAACAAAAATGTTTTACGATGACCTGGATTCCTCGCTCCATACTCAAAGCTGACGGGCAGCATTTGCTTTGGATTGTTGCTTGGTGGATGGACGCTACTCAAAAACCAAAAGGAACACTTTTTAATCAAAGTGTTGGATTAAATTAGTTAAACCTACTGTATGTGGTCAGGGAAATAACAGAGAGGGTTCTTAGTTAGTCCTATGTCCTCTAGGTGGCCCTGTGCTCACTGCTGAGCCCCTTGGAGCCTGATTGGCATTTGCCATAGAATACCAGAAATTGAAAGTACAACACTTTTGCCTTGTGCTTTTCACACATGGGAAGAGGTGACCGACATGAAAGGGTCTGGACAAGCTGTGGAAAATGCTATGCTGCCTGCACCATCGCTCAGCACGACCGGTTTTGTGGTAGGTCAGTGATGGTCTTGAGAGGCATGTCCATGGATGGAAGCAAAGGCCGCTACAGATTAGGCAACGGCACCCTGATTACCAGTAAGTATCGGGTTGAAATCTGTGGACCCACTGTCAGACCCTACGTTGGTTCAGTTGTTCCTGGGTTCCTCCTGAGTCCACAACAATGCTGGGCCTTGTGTGGTGAGAGTATGCAGGCAGTTGCTGGAGGATGAAAGAATTAATACATTGACAGGTCCCATGTTCGCCTGATCTAAATCCAGCTGAACTCCTCTGGGACATTACGTTTCTGTCTATCTAATGCCACCAGGTTGCACCTTAGACTGTCCAGTCTAACTCCTGAGTACAATTCTAAGTTGCTACAGTGAAATTTTAGTAAAATGTACTTTTAATTTTAAGAGTATCTTTGAATTCAGCCCTCTGTAGGTTGATCCTTTCGTTCCTAACACATTACCCAATCTATATTAAAATAGAAATCCAGCATGATTTTCCCCCACACATATGATATAAAGTGTTCCTTTATTTATTTTTTGAGAAGGGTATAATGAACTTTCCCCAGTTTCAAAAATAAAAGTGCTATTCCACTGTCATTTTAGTCTATACATGGCAGACAAAAAAAAACCTAACATGCAGCAATAGGCTTATAAGGAATTGATGTACATGTGCTTTAACTTTATTGGATCAGCATGTATTTGCAAGTACAACAAATTTTTATAAAAAGAGCAGTATTTATAGGGTCAGTGAGGGTTGGTTAGTCAAACAGTCTGTAGATGACACAAAAGCTAAATATTACCCTTCCGAGACAAATGTAGACCTATTTTAAAAGTTTATTATAAATAAGCACACAGAAAAATTATACACTTATACAAAAAGGACAAAACAACATCCACTTAAATATCGAATGCCATCAATATATACTTGGATCTCATCACACCACTATCTAAATGTTAGCGTCCAGAGGTATACAGCATTTCATTAAGATATGTTGTGTGAAAATTGAATGTGTCAGAAGCAAGTAGATCCAAGGCATTGACTTCATACAACCTTCTCCATGAATCCTATTCACAAAGTAAACTTTTACCCCTTTTCCCACTAACAGGAAACCGGTTCAGTACTGGCTGTACACCTAATCTTGAAGCCTTCAGAGCATTCTAGCCAAAAATAAACTGGTTGGGACCTGACAGTCGGTCCCTTGTTGGAATAAAATGGATGTTAAGTTTTTCCAGTGTGAATCATGGTGAAATCTGTGGGTGTGCTAGCTTACTGCTAATACTGCTTTAGCGTTGCGCACTCTCAGCCTTAAGTCTCACCCTTCCTAAACAGTCTCTATGCCAAATAAGTGGAAGCCTTTTTACTAAGCAGGAAAGGCATATTCTCTCACACTCACACTCACACACACACACACACACACAAACATCACAAGGAATGTAGCAGTTCATGACTTTAGTTGCCAAAGGCGCACAGACGCAGACACATACCCTCTAAAATAAACTGAAGTCATTATGTGAATTTGGAAACAGTATTGAACCATTTTCCTGCAGTGAAAGGGGTATAAGAGTGACCATTTAATCCCAAGAAGCTATCCAAATTTTAAAATTAGTTTTATTTACAAAGAAAGAGAGAAAAAAATTATCATGTACATTACATCAGATCTGTGGCTGGAAAAAGAAGAAATAAAAAAATAAAAAAAAAACAAAAGCAGGAAAAACAAAAAAATGAAACACCTTTAAAAACGTGGCCGTGATATTGAGGCTCTGTTAACATTTCAGCTAACCCACAAAGACCGATAAGAGAGTTGTGCTAGCGGAAATGAATGTGATGGGACAGCAAATATAATAAATGCAGCAATATACGTCTGTGCTCAATGTAAAGATAACAAATAAATATATTTATTCATTTACTGCTGCTGGTAGTGGTGTAGGGGTACTCTAATTAACCTTGTTTTGACAAGTAAGCGCATATCTTTAAAATCTTGTTCTTCATAAGACAGAAGATAAAAAGCACACAGAAAAGCACACATCGGTGATGAGCAGAAAATTGGTCTCTGCTGAAAATAGGTCACTAGTGGCCACAGTTCATTTCAGTAAAGATAGATACAGTACAAGGTTCATTAGTTATCTATTTCCTTATTTCCTGTAGGGTGTTGCTGCATGAACCTCACGCGTTGATGCATTTGACAGACTACTGTAGCTGGCTCAGGTTAAAAAAAATATATATATATATATATTGCAATGGTCTATAAAAACTGCATTGTACAAACTTTCAAACTCCTGGAAAACCACACACTTAAGAGACATCTCACTCAGAGCGCTTGCTGTCGCCACTGCTGCTCGTACACTATACCACAAATGATGACTTCTGTGTGAAATCCGCCTGAGAAACAAGCATATCAAACAACACAATCAAAATAAAGCTCTGCTTCATCCATTTTTGCACAGATACCATGTTTTAGCCCTGTATGCAAAGTGTATCACATGTGACACATGAGTTAGTTTATGCTGACTAGTTGCACAAAAAAAAAAAAAAAAAAAAAAAAAAAAAAAATACCAGATGTAAAATTTAACCTTCGATAAAGCAAACTGATATTTAGTTTAGCTTAGAAGGTTCAAGTAACACTCCAATTTAAAAAAAAATTCAATTTTCTGGCAATTTCAAAGTTCAAATATACCAAGCACACTTCATTATAACGAGAGCTAGAAGTACTTATTATAACAATGAATCCGCTAGTGGAATAAAAGGCAACGTTGTACTTACATCATCACCACCACCACTAGGTGGTGCTTGGTAAGACTGGTTCATCTTTGAACTGCTGCAAGAAAAATGAGGGGGAAAAAACCCAGTATTGACATCACCAAATATAGATCGCTATCATTTTTACATTATTAAACCAAAGGCACTAATGTTAAGTAACATTTAAATGCATAGAAATATGCACTTACCTTTCTTTCTTTGCTGTAATAGAAAGAAAGGAAACAACATCAGCACAGAGTACTTCTTACAGATACACTTTTTAGACCTCTGCCTGCCTGAATCAACAAACTAACTTTTCGCTGATCATCGTCAGAACAATGAGGACGGTAAAAGTCTGATTTGAATATAATGTGGAAAACTAACCAGGCAGATATCCTTTCTTTTTGGCAAACCAAACGGCAAATATCAGTAGGGCCACAAGCAGCAGAGCCACTATTACACCAGCGACAATTCCTCCGGTGTTTAGGTCGCCTTGAAGAAAACACAGGGAAACATAATAAGGTGAACCAGCACACTTTCTTTGTGAGGTAAGGAAGAAATGGCTCAGGCGAAAGCATTTTGTGGAGTTTAAAGTGTGAAAGGAACTTACGAACTTCCATCTTCATAGCTCTACATTTCTGAGCAGGGCCAGCATCATTGACAGACTCACAGTAGTAGTCAGCTGTATCTGTCTTGGCTGCAGCAGGAAATTTCTGTGGCCACACAGGTATATTTTAAACTTAAAGGCCAAAACACCATATCAGTCATAGTAAAGGTTACACATGTAACTATCTAAAGCTTACCAGTTCGCCACTGGTTGAATTCAACTTGTAGGTGGCGTTTTTGAAGCCAGCAACATTACTAGGGTTATCAGGCAGAAGAACGTTGTTTCTGTACCACCTGTATGTAGGGCGCGGTGAAGCGCTTTCATCAAAGCAAGACAGGATGGCTGTGCTGCCCGTTGTTACCGATGAGGGGACTTTACAAAATGGCACAGATGGAGGCACTGTAGGACAAAATGTTTAGTTTTTATCTGGACCACTTATAAATGGCAACATACGGTCTTCATTACAGCGAGTAAATGTGATATATAGTCTTACCCAGAACAGTCAGAGTCACCTCTGTTTCCCCAACTTGGGTTTTGTCAGCGCTGGTTATCTCACAGGTGTACACTCCAGTATCTTTACGAGTGACTTTGGAGAATCTCAGATTGCTACCACCATACACATTCAAACGGTCAGCATACGGCGCTGTGGAAGAAACGCAGCATTATGTAACCAGCATGGAAGTATTCAGACACCACATTCAG